TAGTCTCTGTATTAGTCATTTTCTTATTAAAAGTTAAACTCAAGTGTAAACTTTGTAAATCAGAATTTTTTCAGTATTTCAGGGATTTGAGTGACCCACACATGTTTTGTAATGCCTTTTTTATAAGCTGCACATCAAATGAAGTATGGGTCATTTTATTTTGAAGTATGGTTGGTATTTAGAAGTAAAATCAACAGATGATCTTAGAATAGACACCTAGCCATCCTCACAGATGAGTGTTCATCTAGACAGCAAGAGACTATGCATTATTTATATATTTGGGATCACTGTTCTCAGTTGTAATTATCTAAGTAGTTTGTCTCACTTACGTGTTTATTGAATGGAAGTTGGAACTAGTACTCTGCCAACTTTGAAATGTATTTAATTTTTTCCCAAGATAGCATTATTGTTACAGAAAACACAGTACAGCAGTCTTTAGGAAAGAATCATAATCTAGCTTTTGTTTCCATGGTACACACTTAAAAAAAGTAAAACAACACTTAGACTCTATGGTAAACTATACAGATAAAGAAGAATACTTTTGGGATTCACAGTGAAAGGATTTGCCAGCCCTCCACTTCCTCCACCCTCTACCCACACACACCTTAGATACCATGACTTTAGGGGGAAAAAAGTTTTATTTAGTTTGTTTTTAGGTTTCAGTTTCTTGTTCTATTTGAATGGCTTGTATCTTTAGGAAACTAAGTTTAAAGTTTATTTTCTCTCTGATAAATATTTGTCAGATTTTTTTTTCTCATTCCTTACCATTAATATCATCTGGATATATGTTCCTGAGACTTAGGCTGTGATGGGTACCCAAGGATTGTAATCTCTGTATTCTAAACTTGGCCAGATTAAAAACTCAGCATTAATAGAGACACTTTTAAGTAATGATGAATCTGAGGGAAAGATTAGTCCTTGTTCTGGAAGGATTAGATGTGCAGACAATACCTGTCTCAGCAGATTTCTTCTCTGAAAACAGTTGGGACATCATCATGTACTTTATACTCCCCAGTGGTGAAAGCAGTGCTTCTCATACTTACCTGTGTTGAAGGGTTATTTGGATTTTTTAAAAATTTCCAATCTGTTGTGGGACAATGCTTTTATAAAATATAGTATGTATGCATGAATTATTAGAAACATGAAAGGGAAAAAAACCAAAGAAATATAAAATTAAAGTCCAAATTTGTCATGACAGTATCAGATTGCTGTAAGTTTCTAAATGTTTATCCTCACTTTGGGTATTTATTTCATCATGGATCATAACAGGAATTTGTGGACTCACATCAGTCTATAGCCTACACGTAGAGAAGCTCTGGTTTAAAATCCTGCTTTTCATCAATTCCAACTCTAATCACAGAGAAGATGACTACATAGAGTTGAAGGCCGAGGGGTGGGGCCAGTTCTTAAAGTCTCATATTTTATCTTAGTCTTGTTCTGATCTGCTCTATTGCTGTTTTGTGCTAATATAAAAATACTGTTTCAAGTTGCCTGCTCCCTTTAGGAAAAATATTTAAGCTTTTTTCCTCAAATCTCAAGTAATATTTTTGATATAGGACGGTGTCTTCTGTTTACCTATAGCTTTGCAGTCTTGGTTTGGTTGGCAGATATAAAAGATAAAATCATCTGTACCCTTAATAATTTTAAAATGAGAGGAGAGCTCTTTGTGGCATACCACAGGACAGTCACATAGGAGGAGCTGTGACTGGCAGGATTGGCCCAGAAACCAGTGAGTTCAGCAACTCTTCAGTTGGGTGCTTTTCAGAAGGACCTTTGTTTTTTGAGTAAAGAAGAGAAGCTTTGATCTACTCCAATTGGCAGTGAAGTAGCATTAAAAAAAAAAAGTTTTATTGAGATAACAATTTACCCATGTAAAATGTACAATTCAGTGATTTTTTTATTATATTCACAGTTGTGCAACTATCACCTCAATCAGTTTTAGAAAATTTTCATCACCCAAAAAGAAACTTCATACTCTATATTTCTCCTACTTACCTCTACCCTCACCCTAGCCAGCACCCCTATCCCTGGGCAGCCACCTGTCTACTTTCTGTCTCTGTGGATTTACCTATTCTGGATATTTCATATAAGTAGAAGTGGTGTCTTTGAAGTCCATTTTGACTTGAAAGAGCCAGTATGATGTAATGGTTAAGAGCACCAGCCCCAGAGGCAGACTTCTTGGGTCTAACTTCTTGTTCTTGTTACTTAGCAGATTGATTTCTTTGGATGATTACATAACCTTTCTGTGCCTTGGTTTCCTCCTCATAAACAGGAATAATAATGAGACCTACCTGAGAAGCATGAAGACCAAATGAGTTAATATAGCTACAGTATTAGGACAGTGCCTTCCACAGAGTAAGCACTCAGTGAAATTGGTGCTCAGATCATACACTGAAAGGGGGAGGAAAATCACTTCTGAGGCAGAGAAAATAATGAAAATAATTTTGACCTAGGATTCTGTTTGATTTCTGTTGTAAAAAACTTAGTTGTTTGGAAAAGGATGGTGGGGGAAGGTTACAGGAATTTTCTTGGTTTAAAGAGTGCGATTATTAGTTCTGTTTTCTAGGCTAGTAAAGATTATGTTAGGTTAATCAAAGTGGAACTTTCCCTCAAGCTTCAGGGATTTGCTGAGCAAACTTGCGTTTCCTTAGTACCTGCTACTTTTAAAGGAAGGGTTTATGTTGCTCTTAATCAAGAACCCATGTTAAGGTGTATTTTCCTTGGAGAACCGTCATTTAATCTTAAAATTTGTGTAAATTCATCTTTATTCTTTGATTTATATCAAGAAAAAAAATCATTTCCATTAGAACTTTTCCCATGTTAGTGTTAACAGATAGCTATAGCGCATATAGCATAACTTTCAGATTTTTTTTGATCTTTATAGATCTTTAGTTTTCTTGGTGAATATATTGGGTAAGGTACTTGGAATTCAGTACAATGGTAGGTCAGTTGTGGAGTTTTATTTTAGAATTATTGAATATGACTGCTGGAAGTGACTTTAGAGATTATCTCACAATACCCCTTACTTCTGTTGACAGGGAAATTGAGAACCTTAGTTTACATGACTTCTTGGAGGCTGATTACTGACGGACCTGTGACTAGATCCTATTGAGTGTGGCTCCTTTTTCCTCAGAAAATAACTCTGCCCTCATGTCCCAGTCATTTTAGCTTCTTTCTTATGTAGTCATTATATTGCTTACGTAGAGATTCACTGTCTTGTTAAATAGGCAAACTGGATGGTCATACTACCAATGTAGATTTGTTTTTGATGAGATTGTAGGGTGTCAGGATTGCCTTGTCCTTCCTAGGTATTGTCTTCTGCAAGGCTAATGTGAATAACCTGCTTGCCAATTGATAATGCCTCTTTTCCTGTCCCAATAATGGTGAGGTCAGGATGGAGAACAAACGTTTACGCAGATAAGGAGTTGGTATCATGGGAATGGAGCCTGGTGGGTAGGGATTTAAGGCTGTGAGAGCCTCATTATTTTCTTTCCAAAGCTCAGCATTCCTTACATTTTCCAGAGGCTAAACATCTCTTCCTTAAAATTGTTTGCATTTTTCTGCTATTTGTTACTAAGTGTCTCATAGAAATTAGTGTGTACTTTTCAGTGGATTCCTTCCTTCCTTCCTTCCTTCCTTCCTTCCTTCCTTCCTTCCTTCCTTCCTTCCTTCCTTCCTCCCTTTTTCCTCCCTCCCTCCCTCCCTTCCTTTTAAATGCCTTCTAAAGAGAAAAACTGAACATCTCTATATAAATTTCCTGAACTAAAAGCTAGGAGTATTTTCCATTCTCTCAGGTCTCTTGTATTTTCCTTATTTTGAACTATCTGCTATAAAAAGTAAAGAAATTGAATTGACTCGCTTTCCAGTCTCCTTTGTTTCTTCCCTCCTCCACCAAAGAAATACTAGTTTCTATATTTGCATTTAGGTGTACATACTGAGTTGCTTTTTAAAAAACTTTATCAAGTTTCTGCTTCCTTTCTTGAGAACTTCATGTGCTAAAAAAATATAAATACTTCTGTGTATAGTAATAAGTAATAAAATCTTGAGCACATTTTCATATTTTATATAATCTTATTCTAAATATAGTAACTGGGAAGAATTTGAGTGATAAGCTACTTCATGTGTCTTTTACTTTTAGAGTATTAAGAAGTTTTTGTAATTATTGCCTGGAAGTTTGGGTAATGTTTTAAGAGATTTGCTAAAATGATTAAAGTTTAAAAACTTAATTTTTAAAGAGTTTGCTATATTGTTTGTTTGTTTTAAAGTTCTCATTGTAAAATATAAAACACATATAAGGTCAAGAAATAGAACTTTGCCAGTACCTCAAAATCTGCCTCATGTCCCCTCCTAAACACTATTTCCCTCTGTCTTACCAAAGGTAACTACTATCCTGATTCTTATAGTAATGTTTCTTGCTTTTCTTTATGGTTTATCACCCAACCATGCATTCCTAAACACTACAGTTTGCCTGCTTTAAAAAAAAAATATGTGTGTGTGTATATATATATAAATATAAATGGATTTGAGCAATTTGTGTTCTTCTGTATTTTGCTTCTTTTGCTCATTATTATGTTTGTGAATGAACATTATACACAGTTTTCAAAAAAAATTTAATTATATGGAGAAAATGGAATAGGAAAAATAGTAAAGGAACATAGGAGTTAAGATTCATGTTTTACTAATGGCTTGGCCTCCAACCAACAAAGATGGCTTTGAGCAAGTCGCTTGAACTCTCAGGATCTCCTTTTTCTTCTCTAAAACGTGATATAATGGGTTTAAATGATTTATAAGACCCCTTCAGCTTTAACATTTGATGAAACTGGATAAATCAGTGTTATACTGTGCTATTCTTAATTTCTTTTATCTTTGTTTTCATTAGGTTGTCTTGGAGATACCCAGTTTTGTTTTAGATTTCGACAGTCTTCTGGGAGGAGGGTGTCACTGCATTGTCTCCTGGATCAATTTGACAAAGATTTACCAGTTTACTTAAAGGTTGGAAAAGTAGTAAAAGGAGAATGTCCACGTGAGAGGAAACTTTAGAACTCAGTTACTCAGTTACCTCTTGTAGTATTCATAATTATAGTGCTTTTGTTTTATTACTGTATTATACTGCTAGATTTCCCGAGTCTAATTTATAAGGATTTAGTATGTGAATGAAAGAGACTTTATAAAGTTGCTTTTCTTAAAAATATATTATAATACCAAAGTGAATTGTGAAATTAGAATGTTGAGGTAATTTTCTCACTTGTTAATAACTCTTTGTTTAGATGTGGAGGTGGGGTGATAGTATATGAGTACATACCACCCAGAGTTGAAGATTCCCTGTGGTAATTCCTACCTACTTTATGAAAGAATTATAGTTGTCTCTTTTTGATTTTTAAATGAGCTTTGGTTTATACTTATGTTTATTTAAAACAATGTTAATAATTGAGATGATTCCAGAGTGTAGGTTTCTGTTTGGTACTTCACACTTACATCTCCATCAGCATGAAGAACATTTCCATCTCAATGTCCTATTAGTACATCCAAGAAGAACTTGACATCTCTTGCCTAAAATAAGCATTTATAGCTGACCTTCCTGGTTCCAGTAATGTCAGGACCCTCTCCCAGTTAGCAAAGATATACCTTTGAAATGTCTCTTTAGCCATCCCCTCCTTTCCATGGCCTTTAGCTATCACTATTAACATATTCTTTCAACTGTTGATAATGATAGTTATTATTTATCAGAGCTTTTTATGTTCTTAGCAATATGCATACATTGTATCAGTAAGCATATATTATCTTACTAATCCTCCTTTTAGTGTTCTGAGAGAGTTCCTTTTGCAAATGAAGGAATTGAGGGCTATTGAGGATAAGAAATTGGCCCAAAGACACCCATCTCCTATCTTTTTCAGGGTAATATATCTTACACAGTGTTCCCAGCTAAAGTGTATATGTCTATTACATACAATAAATAAAATATAAAATGATTACCTGTTGCTTAATGAATAAAGAACTGATGATAGTACTGTTTCCTTGTTCTCACTTCTTAGGCCCTCCAAAATAGAACCTTTACAACTCTCTAATTTCCAGCTTAATCTCCTTTCTATACATGTGCCATATTTGAGCTAAGCTGAACTATATACTTTTTCTTGAGGTAGCTTGTATTCTTCTGTCTTTGTGTGATTTTGCTCAAACTCTTGGATCTCTAAACCTGAAATGTCTTTGTCTTTGTTTAAATCATATCCATCCTTCAATGCCCAATTCAAAAACAGCTGCCTCCAGGAACTCTTTACTGATCCCCATAGAAAGAGGTAATCTCTTCCCCCTTGACCTCTTTGTAACACTTCTTGCTTTTTTCATGGTACCTGCCCTTCTTTTACATAATAGTCATTTTTGTACTTTTCTTATCCTTCTTAGGTTGTGATCTCCTTAAGGAACTGTATCTTTGTATCTTCTCTAACACAATGACTTGTTTAAAGCAGGTGGCCAATAACTATTTGTTTAAAGAATAACAATGAAATAAGGAACTGGATCAGAGCTTATTCCTCTAGAATATAAAAATTTTTAAGTTTTTTGGAATGTAATTAGCTTTCAAAATATATGTTGATAAACATTCCAGTGTTTCATTATTATTGGGTAAAAATATAACTGCCCATGTAAGATTCAGATTGGCATTTAATTCCTTTTGTTTTCTCTCTGGAAATTTTGTATTAGGATACCTCATTTCAAGACTGACTCTAACTCAAAATAGAATTTGATTGTTTCCTAAATTCCATTAACTAGCACAGATATGAATAAAGAACATAAACAGAGTAAGTTATAGGGGGTAAAATCTGACCTTAGTAGTTTAGTTATGATTATTTCATCTTTGGGCAAGTTGGCAGTTTTTTAATCTGGTAATTTTGTCAAAATTGTTTCCATTGGTGGAAAACAATAATTAGCTCTTCACGTATCCCTCATATCTCAGTTTGGGTTTATAAAGGAACCTGCTGTTAATAAAGGATGGCTATATATATATATTTTTTTTAATTTGTCCCTTCTTTCATAGAAGGATCCTGCTTATTTTTATGGATATGTGTATTTCCGACAAGTTCGAGATAAAACTCTAAAAAGAGGCTACTTTCAGAAGGTAATTTCATATGCACTAATAAAAATATTTTTACATTGTGGTTAGAAGAATAGAAATTGTTAGAATGAACAGGCTTTAAAGTCTTTGATATATAAATTCTAGTATGTTTAAAGATAAAAATTTTTTTTTTTAGATTAGAGACATCTGCCCTTAGATTTTTAACTCCTGTTGAATTTTGCCTTTCCTTTCTCTGTGCTAGATTCCTGACAGTAAGTTACAGTTATTGTTATGAAACTGTTAAAACTCAGAAGAATTTGCTTAATTTTCATATTTTGGAGTAAGGGAAAGAATAGATTGTAATATAGTCACAACTATTAAAAGCCTACAGTGTCTTTTTTTGAAGCGCCAGTAAATATACTTGGTCAACGTCTTAGTCGTTACTGTTCCCACTCTAAATGTACAATCTTTCTGTTTCTAAATATAGATATGTATATATATATGTTAGTTCCAATTTAATCCCAGCTAATAGGTTACCTTTTGTAACCAGAACATGCCCTCACCACTAATTGATGCTTGGTGGAAAGGTAAAAAGTAGTTTTCAAGAAAAATAGATTTTTAAAAGAAACAGCATAATCTGTATCTGAAGTGATCACAAGCTGTAAAGTCACAGTTTCTGAGAAAGTGGCTATGATCATTGAACTCTGAAATGTAACAGTCATAGGTCTTAGTTTGAAAAAGCATCACAATGTGCACTTCCCTTATTAGGAAGAATTCATCTGGCTAATTCCTAATATTGCTTTGCTGACAATAATAGTAGCTAGGCTTTGGAAATTATCCATGACATTAGTCTGTTTAAAGGAAATTCTTTTTCCTGGAGAGCAGGAAAATCTGTGATAATGTGTTTATGCTCTTAAAATATAGTAATAAGGTTAACCTTTTTTGTATTCTGCACTGGTAGTTTTATGTTCCTTTTAACCATCCACTGTAAGAGCCTTTTGTTTTAAAATCCACACTTTTTGCTGAATTTGGCTTGTTAGTAATTGATTATATACGAAATGGCAAACAAATTATAATCATAAGGAAATTTTAAACATTATTTCTTTTTTCCCTCCAGTCTTTGGTTTTGATCAGCAAACTACCTTATATTCATTTTTTTCACACTGTGCTCAAACAGATAGCACCAGAGTATTTTGAAAAGAATGAACCTTATCTGGAAGCAGGTAAGTTAAACATTGTGTGAGTCAGGTACCTTTATGAAGCAGTTTTAAAATTTTTATTGGAAATGAGTAAAAAAAATTAAGAATTTTAAAGGCTTACGTTGCAAGAGGCAAAGAGCAAGTTTTGGATTTTGCTTCTTCCAAGTTCGTTTTTAAATGACAAATAAAAAAGAACATTAAAAAAAAGAATTTTAAGGGCTATGTGGTAGGTGAGAGATGTAGAACTACTCTCCTGGCATCTTCACCTATTAATCACCAAAGACTATCTTCTATTACCTCCTTTTGCAACATAGATGGTGCCTGTTTTTTAGGATAATAATAAACAAATATTGAGTTGCCAGTTTTGATACTCAGGGTACTATTAAACAGAAATCCTTATGTCACCTGATCCAGACAGAAGACCTCTGCCAGGTGGTATGCTTTTGTAGCTAACTTCAGTAGTAATAAATGAATAGGAAAGCTCCCTTTAAACCTATTATTTTGTTGTTTTCAAAAAATGTGTTAACCAATTTATATCCTAGAACATGTATGTATATCTGGTAAAATGTTAAGATATTTTAAATACTTTTACTTTTTATCTTCCATCCTTTCCAGTGTATTTTTTTTCTTCTCTATAGAAAGCAAAAGCAGAATTATTATTTTTAGTGTTCCATTTTAAGTATTTTATTATTTCCACTTACACAAAGAAATATTTTACTATATTTTTCAGCTTGTAATGATGTTGATCGATGGCCTGCCCCAGTGCCAGGGAAAACGTTACACCTACCTATTATGGGGGTAGTAATGAAGGTAATAGCTTATATTTCATTTGTCTCCTTTTGTGAAGAACTCTGGGAAGTTCACACATGAGTTTGTTTGTTTGTTTGGTTTTAAATTTTTTTGGTGGGGAGGTAATTAGGTGTATTTATTTATTTATTTATTTGTCTTTTTTTTTTTAATGGAAGTTCTGGGGAGTGAACCTAGGACCTCATGCATGCCAAGCACACATTCTACCACTGAGCTATACCCTCCCCAACCCATGAGTTTTGCTTTTTAACTTCCTAATAATCTTCAACCCTGTATTGCTTTCACTGTTTGTCACTGATGTGACGAGTTATAAAGAAACCACAATTCATCATATTGTACAGAACCATTAGTCACACAACTCCAAGGATCACCGGTCCCATTTTCATCCTGTAGAGTTTGCATGATGGTGTCGTTCTTATATAATACATGTGAATGTGAATGCCACCTCCTAGAATTGTGTACCTGCATGGCCCTCCAGAGATGGATGGTATTGCAGAACACTCTTAGAATCGAATATGAGTTAGTAAAATTTGAAAGAAATTGGGAAAGCCATTGGTTCTTAGTCTTAAATGATCTTTTTAATGTGTAATTTCAGACCAACATGTCCATCCCAGGGTATTGTTCTCTGTTAAGTTTTTTTTAATATATAATGAATTAGCATTTTGCTCTCGGGCTTTGTATGAATGTGCTCTAAGTGTTTTTGCAATTCATTTTCAAGTTGGACTTATTTTTGGCAATGTTCTCTCTTTAGATTTGCTCATTTCTGTAGGATCTGTGTTCTGTTTTTTCCCTGGAAATTATCAGAAGTAGCTCAGGGTTGAGAGTTCTCATGGTCCCCTGTGAGATTTATCCCATAGTTTGGCAAGCTTAATAGGGTGTGTTTGGGTGTGTGTATATTAATGAAGCAAAGATTGGAATAATAAACAAGAAGCGGTATGTAGCTGATGTCCTTTTTCTGTTTTTCAGCACATTTGCTTCTCAGTGGGTTAGTGATTTCTGTGTGTATGGGAGTATGGAGATCTTGGTTCATTTACTTTCTGCTGTGATTAAAAATAAATATGACTTAGCAGGGAGGGTATAGCTCAGGCGTAGGGTGCGTGCCTAGCATGCACAATGTCCTGGGTTCAATCCCCGGTACTTCCATTAAAATAAATAAATAAACCTAATTACCTCCCTCCAAAATTAAAAAAAAATTAAATTAAAAATAAATATAAATTTAAAAAATAAAATAAATAAGGATGACTTTAGTTTTTAATCTCAGATAAGTATTTTTGTTTTTATGGCTTTTTAGGCATTGCTAACCCTTTTAGCGTCAGGATAGAGTGCCTCGATCCCTCATTGTCGCGGGACTCACTGATTATAGAAAGGACATTCTTTTGTAGCCAAAGTTAATTTCTTCTCTTTCAGGTGCGGATTCCCACATGTCATGACAAGCCTGGGACAACTCAAATAGTGCAGTTAACTCAGCAGGTAGTGTGGCACTGTGGTAGAATAATCCAGCATATATGTTGTCTTTAACAGAAATTTTAAACTAGCAAATGCAGTGTTACTTGGGTTTATGTTTCTGAATATTACTGAAATATCTCATTAAATAATTTTTAATGAATTGATAATAAATGTCCTTCCGTTTCTCAGACTTTGGTTTTTCTTTATTCTTTCTCTAGTAGGCACTGGAGAACTCAGAATTTATACTGTAATTATGAGGGCAAGGAGAAAACTATCTTCTTCAGCGAGGTTTAATTCTAACAAAACCTCTTATCTTAGAATAATGGTCAGCAGATCCCTGTTTTTAGGAAGCTTAGTCAAAAGGATTCTGTGGTTACGATTGCCTTTCACTTTCCCCAAAGCTACAGTCGTTCGTGGGTGGGGATGAATTTTTCATTTGAAATGATTTAACTGGTGTATTTGCACTCCCTTTCTTCTTTGAACTAAATAAAAATGGAGAGCAATAGGAAAACTAATTTTGCCTGTCACGTATATCAACTAGTATTATGGTGGTATTTCATACAGTTGAGAATTACTCTTAACATCTGACTACTGGATTAATGCTTTATCCGTGGAATCTGTGTTATCCTTGACCTTCTGCTTTGTTAGGGGAGACTGGTAAGACCCATTCTCTTTGTGGCTGCTCCTGGGGGAAGAGAATCTTAAAAGATAAATAGAGCAACATGGCTTATTGATCATGGGATAGATAGGTACATTTTAGAAATCAATTTCTGTAAATTCTAGTGACATCTTATCTATTTATTTGTTCTTTTTTATCTCTTAGGGAGACACACTTGTATCTGTTATTTTACCTACTGTTCATGAGGTGGATCTTTTCAGGTAAAGAATAGAAAATTTTGTTAACTGCCTTTTCTCTTTTGCTTTGTGATGCTGTTAATTTCTTTAGAAAATGAATGGTCTTATATGAAATGGGGAAAAAATGTTTTATAAATCAATGGTTCATCCCTGGCTACATGTCCTTTGCTTTGACTACTAGGGATATTTGGATATAGATTGGATATTACGTGGTAAAAACAAATTATTTTTTGTTTGTTTGGGTGTAAGAATGGTATTGTGATGATGTAAAAAAATGCACTTATATTTTAGAGATGCATTTTAAATTATTTTGAGGTGAAATGTCATGAGCTTTGTGCTTTATTTAAATATACTTCAGAAATAAATGAAATAAAAATGGCAATGCTCTTCTTCATGGATGCCCTCCTTACCCTGCTCAGGCTCTGCTCCATGCCTGATTGACCCCACATGGTTACCTCCTGTCCCACTCAGGCTTCTATATCCCGCATTAGGCCACCTTTCCATGTGGATGCCATCTTCACCCTGTTGTGCTCTGACTCTTGATGCCTGGCCAGTCCCCATGTGGATGCCCTCCTTTCCCTACTTGTGCTCCTGCACCTCACTGCAGGCCACTCCTCCATGCATATACGCACATCCCACCATGGACAACCTCCTTAACCCAATGTGACTCTGACCCTCAGTGCCTGCTGCCCCTCCATGCCCCTCACGCTTCCTGGGCTTTTGTTACCCAAATCCAATCATCTTCACACGTGCACAGCTTTCTCACTACATTTGGGTTCCAACAGCCCCAACAACAAGCCACGCCCTGCATATGGATGTTTACCTTATTTCACACAAGCCCTGACACCCTCTCTGGGCCAAAATCTTTCCCTCCTGGCAGAGATGCCTACCCTGCATTGTGTTGGGCTGTAGGACTGAATTGCTTAGGAAGGAAGGAGGAAGAGCTCCTTTGCCTTATCCTTGAACTGTTTATTGTTTTTGTTTTTTTGCTCTTCCCTCACATTTGTCTTCTTGCCTTTTAACAGTTAAAATTAACTTTCTCTAATTTTCATCTCACAAATTTGTTTCATATTTTTATACTTAAAAGTTACTTGTATTTTTTCCTTCCCTTCTCCTTCCCTCCTTCCTCTTTCTTATGTGTGTATGTTTGCAACTGGGTAGATTGGTTATGATTTTTATAAATAGATAAGTAGTTTTTTTTTCTCTAATTGTGACTGTACTAGGGTAAAATTACTAAATAAGTAAAAATTACCAAATGTAACTTAGGCTATGTAATGTACCAGGGTTTTGTCCTATAGGCTCCTGCCTAATTGCAGAGCTACTTACAGTAATATGCAGCATTTCTTCAGGGAAAGGATCTGCCTAGAATTCATCCTGTTGTTTGGCATTAGAACTCCCCCTTGTGATTTGTTTTCATCATTCTTTAGTATTAAAAAGCATTGGCTTTGAAATTAAGTACATCCAGTAACATTCTTTGGAAAATCAATTTTTCTTGTTTCCTTTGAAACATTTGAAATTTAAAAGTAGCAAAGCAATATTCTATCAAATAGATCGACTATATGGTAAAATAATTTAATAATTGTCTTATATGCTTTTATTATGTGTCAGCCATTCTGTGTCAGTATATTGCATTTAATTTTGTAAAAATGAGAATGAGTAAAATTGCTCATTGCTGTGTATTTTTATGTGAATAAGAATAGATGTATATGTATCACCACAATTTAAAAGAATTTGTGTATAGATCAAGGTATACATCATAGCTGGAAGAATGTATATCAATGTGAAGTTTTTAGAATGATTACATAAGAATTTAAAAGAACAAGGCTGGATAAGTAACTACTTCTACTGTGTAAAACTTTCAGGTGCTTCTGCCCCGTCTTTCTCCACAGTCAGATGCTTTGGGAGCTGGTGCTGCTGGGTGAGCCCCTCGTGGTCATGGCACCGTCACCGTCGGAGTCCTCAGAGACTGTATTGGCACTTGTTAAGTGAGTGTGTTTGGTTCCCGGTGGTGACAGTTGCGGCAGTTTTCCACCTGTGATGTTTGCATCGTTACAGCACCATTTATTGATGAGAAAATCAGTTCAGGCTCCATGAGGGCTGGAACAGTGTTTTTGTTTTTCTGAGCAATATGCACATTCATTCACATACACTTAAGTTGGCACTTGATAAGTACCAGTTTCGTGAATGGTCAGTGGCTAGTAAAAGGCATATAGTTACTGAATGATAGAGCCAGAATTTCACCCCATCTTCTGCCTCGAGTCCAGTGTTTTTTTAGTGAGCCATTCCTCATTACGTATTTCCATTTGTCTTTCTGGTTTCCTGAAATGAGTTTACCATGTATTGAAATAGATAAATGATCCCATTGGGGTAAACTCTGTGTATAGATATTTTGTAATTATTGAGTAGAGCCTTTAATTTCTGTCCTTTGTTTTACATGTTCTTCTTGCTCCACAGCTGTATTTCTCCATTAAAGTACTTCAGTGACTTCCGACCTTATTTCACTATTCATGATAGTGAATTCAAAGAATATACCACCCGGACTCAAGCCCCGTGAGTAAACAAAATGACATTCGTTGACCAAGTATTACCTTTATAATCAACTTATGTAGAATTATTTTTGGTAATAATTTAAAAGTTTAAATTTTGAACTTATTGGCAGATTGATTTTATAAAGGAAATATTGAGGAGCTGCTGGTAATAACATTTCAAGAGTCAGTATCTTATTTTCTTTGGATGATTTTATTTATTAGTGGAAACTGTATTGTCATTAAAGCTGTCTGACTGTACTTTCAGGTCTGTCTTCTTTCCTTACTTCAGGACATCTTACAGCACCAGTTCTCTCTTCTTGCTGCATAACTTCTTTTTCCTTCTCTCTTCATTGAATCAGCATATAAACATAAAAATTCTTCCCAGTCAGTAAAAAGCGGGAAAAAATGTTACCTTTCCCCTTTAGCTCCTGCTCTATCACTCACCTTCTTTTCATAGCTAAGTTTCTAGAATAACAACAAAAGTTTCCATTTACCTTCTCCACTTCTTGGTTTTCTAGTTGCTTTCCAGTTTATAACAGGTTGATTTCTTCATCTCCACTGAAGTTGTTCTTGCCAAAGTCATCAAGACGCTTCTCACTGCGTGACCCAGTGGGCACATTATTTCTGTATTTTTCCTGCCTTCCCTTTCTTGCAACATTTAATCTGTTGACCTTGAAAACATTTTAAGCCTTGATACCCTGTTACCTGGCTGTCTGGTGGTGCATCTCAGTCTCCCGTGCAGACTTCTCTTCCTCTGCCAACCCTTGAAGTGTGGGTGTTTTTCAGTATTGTGTTCTGGGTTCTGATTTCAGACTGATAGTTCCTTCTGTACAATCTTATCTGTACCCCCAACCTCTGTTAACACTTACATACTGATAACTGAAATTTATCTTCCTAGCTCAGATCTGTGCAAGGTCTAGACCTATATAGTCAGGTTTTTGTTGTTGTTTGTTTGTTTATTTTACCATATTACCACTTGGACATCTTAATGTCACCCAAAACTTAGCATGTTCAAACTGAATTCTTTTTGTCTCCTTTTTTGCCCTAGTTCCATGCTTCTTCCTATTTTCATCAATGGTACTTCTTTTCACTTAGTTACCAAAAACCTAAATTGTCATAAATTTCTCCTTCTTAATATGCCCCACATGAATTTTTACCAAATTTTGTCAGTTCAACATCCTAAAATATCTCTCATAACATTTGTTACCTTCTTTCAAAAGCTCTCTTCCTAGTCTTACTGTCTCTATTCTTTCTCATTTCTGCTATTGCTTTTCCCCAAACGCTTTACCCTTTTTGTAGAGCACCTTCAAAATTTCCCCCAGAGTGATCTTTCTAAGTACATTTTTATTGATAGGGCATTCCTCCACTTGGTTCTCTAGTAGTTTCTGTTTGCCTACAAGGTAATATCTAAATTTCTTAGCATGTTAAGTTAGTACTTAATGATCTGGCCAGCATCTTCCCATCTACTTTCATTTCTGAGTCTTCCTTCTTCCTGCTTTGTGCTCTAGGAATGCTGAACTGTATGTAGTTTTGCAAACAGACTGTGAGCTCACTTCATTACTTTGCACGTACTGTTCATTCTCCTGCATCACCTTTTCTTCCCTTACCCACTTGGCAGAACGCTCCTATTCATCTTTCATGTTTTTGTGCAAATGTCATCTCTTCGGTGAGGCTGTTCTTAGTCCCCTGGTAGACATAGTTTTGGTTTTGTAATTATTGTACATTTTATACCACCTTCACTGTCCTTTAATTTCTGGCTTCATAATTGGGTATGTATACCTTTTTTCCTGTGTGCTTTTAGAAGACCATGTCTTTTCATCTTTATATGCCCAGTGCTAAACATGGTGCCTGGCATGTAGTTGATACGTAGTTCACAGAGTAAAGGAAAAGCTTATCTATTGTCCTCTCAGAAGAAATTGTAACCTGATGAAACATTCATTTTTTTTTCTCACTTTTGTTTTGTTTTGTTTTTATGTAGGCCCTCAGTCATATTAGGAGTAACCAACCCTTTTTTTGCGAAAACTCTTCAGCACTGGCCACACATTGTTCGAATAGGAGACCTTAAACCTGCAGGTAAAGTATAAACTTGGTGTTCTGGTTTTAGTATGTAATGTGTATGAGCAGGTTTATTTTTTCCCCTTTGTTTTCATCTCTTGGTTATTTTTTAATTATATTGATGGCAATCTTCTTTGAGGCAACTTGGATAAAAAAGCCTTTGGAGAAGAGCATAACTTCCAACTACACAGGTTCTTGTATGTGTAATCCATCATGTCCTCCTACCAAAAAATGCACCTACAGTGTTGCAAACACTGAATTAATTATAACAAAATAAAACCTCAAAAATTTGAGCTACTTTTTTGTATGTATAAGCCCAGTTAAATTGAATTTTCCACCCTTGCTTGAGTAAAACCTTACAGAAAGTTAAATTACTCATTTTGACTCAAAATTCTCAGCTAGGACTCAAAAGAAGTATGCATTTCTGTGGCACCGGTATTGATTAAGGAAGTGTCAAAAAGTTATGCTTTCCTTGAAAAAAGACGGATAGTGCCTTGCTCATGGTAGCTGTTTAATCAGTATTTATTAAATGAGTAAATGAATTCTGAACTTGGCGATTTTGTTAATCTAGATGACGATTTAACTGTACCGCTGACATTTCCTCAGAGAACATTCCTGAATTTTCCATGGAAATAGTTGAGATGTGAGCTATCCAGAATATTTTTTAGTAACTTTATGATGTGTTACTTTTAAAGACTTTTATTTTGGATAACACAACTATTATATTTAAAACATTACTTTAAAATATGATTATTTTATAAGAGTTCCCTTCTGGAATAAATCTACATAGACATATTAGATTCAGAGAATAACATTTTATATCATATTATTTACAAATATTAGACTCAATATTACACTGAAATCCTTAGAAGTCTTATGAAATAGAGGAAAGAGCAAAAGGCCTTAGCTTGGTAGTCACATCTGTGTAATCTTAGGTGGAACATCCTCTTTAAGCCTTGAATTCTTTGTCCACTGGGAGGATTAAACATAGTGCCTGACTCATGGCACTCTTTAAATGTCATGGTCTCCTGTCATTTCATTAGTATCCTGTCTTAATGATAAATCACTATGAGAAGGTACAAAAAGGTGTTTTTTTTTTTAAATCTTAATTTAATCTTGAGAATTACTTTCTTGGTTTTGTCCTATTAATCTAAACTGTTTTATTAATTATGATATAGTAGGCTACTGTTTATTGTCTTTTCCCAATGAGAAAAGGCTCTCTGTTGGGAATGTAAGTAGAGGAACTTTTGCTAAGATCATTGATAAGTAGCATGAATTGATAAGTCTGTTTAACTTTTTAAGGAACTGCCAGACTGCTTTCCAAAGTGGCCCACTATTTTACATTCTTACAAGCAGTGTATGAAGGTTCCTATTTCTTCACATCCTTGCCAACATTTGATACTGCCTGTTTTTTAAATATAGCCATCCCAGGGGTTTGAAATGGTGGTTTTAATTTACTTTTCCTTAGTGACTAATGATGTTGAGCTTCTTTTCATCTGCTTTTTAGTCATTTATGTATCTTCTTTAATGAAATGTTGATTTAAAACTTTTGCCCATTTTTAAATTAGGTTATTTGTCTTATTATTCAGTTATAAGAGGTCTTTATTTTGGACACAAGTTTGTTTTCAGACATATGATTTGCAGATATTTTCTCACAGTACTTGACTTCTCTTTTTTTGCTTTCTTAATGGTGTCTTTTGAAATGCAAAAGTACTTTATTTTGATGAAGCCTAGTTTATCAGTTTTTTTCTTTAATGGATTGGCCTTTTGACATTTATCTAGAACTTGAAGCCTAACCCAAGGTCACAGATTTTCTTCTGTGTTTTTGTCTATAAATTTTATTGTGTTAGCATTTACATTTAGGAACCACTCAGTTGATTTTTGTGTATAATGTGGAGTAAGGGTCTAAAATTTTTTTTTTTTTTTTGGCATATTGTTACCCAGTTGTCTTAGCACCACTTGTCGAAAAGACTATCCTTACTCCATTGAATTGCATTGATACCTTTTGGAAAATCGGTTGACCATAGACATAAGAGTTTATTTCTGGACTCTTGTTTCTTTTATTCTGATCTATATGTGTTATCTTTACACTAGTATAACGTCTTGATTACTGTAATGTTATAGTAAGTTTTGAAATCAGAAATTATAACTCTTCCAGCTTTGTTCTTTTTTAATATTGTTTCAGATATCCTAGGCCTTTTGCATTTCCATATAAATTCCGTATAAATTCCTTTGTCAATATCTGCCAAGTGGGCGGAAAGCAAAAAATCCAACTGGGATTTTGATAGGGATTGTGTTAAATATGTAATCAATTGGAGGAGAATTGCCATCTTAAAAACACTTGAGTCTTCCAATCCAGGAACTTGGAATGTCTCTCCATTGTTTAGATCTTCTTTAATTTTTCTCAGCAGTATTTTATAGTTTTCAACATGCAGGTCCAATTACAATGTTAGGTGTAGGTTTTTCATAGATATCTTTTATCAGGTGGAGGAAGTGCCCATCTATTCCTGGTTTGTTGAGAAAGATAATGAATTTGTGTTGAACTTTATCAAATGCTTTTTCTGTATCTGTGAAGATCATTATATGGTTTTTGTCCTTTATTAACACAGTATATTATATTGATTTTTTATGTTAAACTAACTGGATATTCCTTACATCAATCCCATTTGGTTATGGTGTGTAGTTTTATTATTATTATCATCATCATCATCATCATTATTATTATCATTATTATTATTGGTTTGCTAATACTTCTTGAGGATTTTTACATCTTTATCCATGAGGGATATCAGTCTACAGTTTCTTTTCTTGTGATGTCTTGCCGGTTAATATGCTTGCTGCTCTGAGAACCCTCTTCAGGCAGGTGCAGTTATCATTTAGAAGTAGAACCTAGGACCAAGGGAGAGGAGGGGACAGTTCTTGAGTTTATTTTTCAAAAATGAGGATAATGGCACAAATGGAATATCAACAGTTTGTTTTAAGCCACCTACTTTATGGGAGAGGTGCTGTGTTCTCTCTGATTATTTCTGTCACCAGATTATTTGTACCGTATGATCAGGTATCACTTATTCTATAGAAGAGTGCTTGTGTTGCATGGAAATATTATGCTTTATAGATAGATCCTTAGTGGTCACCAAGGAGTGGATAGTAGATAGTGTCAGTGTCCTCAGTTTGGTCCTTGTTCAGTTAGTAGAGGTGATTCATTGTGAGCAATGACACCAGGGTTGCTTAAATAATTTTGGTTAAGACTACAGTGCCTGACTTTCTGGGACTGACAGGTCTTTTGTGAGCACAGGTCTTAACAGAAGTGCAAGATTTCATTAAGTTTAATGTGTGTATGGTACTTTTCCCCACTAATACCTTAAAAAATTTTATTATGGCTAAATATATATTAGAATTTTACCATTTTAGCTATTTGTAAGTGTGCAATTCAGTGGCATTAAATGCATTCACAGTGTTGTGCAACCATCACCCCATCCATTTCCAGAACTTTTCATCATCTCAAACAGAAGCTCTGTAGCCATTAAACAGTAACTTCTCATTCCTCGAATCCCCCAGTGACCTCTATTCTAATTTGTTTCTATGAATTTGACTCTTCTATGTGCTTTTATACATGTGAAATCATACAACATTTGTTTCTGGCTTATTTCACTTAGCATAACGTTTTCAAGGTTCACATTGTAGCATTATCAGAATTACATTCCTTTTTAAAAAATCTGTGGTAAAATACACATAAGATAAAATTTACCATCTTAATCATTTTTTAAGTGTACAATTCAGTGGCATTAAGTACACTCATGTTGTTGGGCTGCCATCACCATCATCTACTCACAGGACTCTTTTCATCTTGTAAAACTGAAACTCTGTATCTATTCAACAGTAGCTTCGCATTCACTCCCCACACCCAGCCCTTGGCAACTACCATTCTGTTTTCTGTCTCTATAAATTGGACTACTCTTGGTATTTTATCTAAGTGGAATTCTACTTGTCCTTTTGTGACTTGCTTGTTTCACTCAGCATGGGTGTCTTCAGCATTCGTCCATGTTGTAGCAGGTGTCAGAATTTCCTTCCTTTTTAGGCTGAATAGTATTTCATCATATGTATATACCACATTTTGCTTATCCATTCATCTGTTGATGGATACTTGGCTTGCTTCCACCTTTTAGCTATTGTGAATAATACTGTGAACATGGGTGTACAAATATCTCCAGTTCCTGCTTTCACTTCTTTTCATATATGGTCATTCCTTGGTATCCACAGAGCCTTAGTTCCAGGACCTGCCACAGATACCAAAATCTGTAGATGCTTAAGTCCCATAGTGGACCTTCTGTATCCACAGTTCCACATCTGTATGTTAAGTCAGCCACAGATCTTGTAGTACTATATATATTTATTGAAAAAAATCTATGTATAACTGGACCTGGACAGTTCAAACCCATGTTGTTCAAAGGTCAACTATACACCTAAAAGTGAATTGCTGGACCATATAGTCATTATGTTTAATTTTTTGAGGAACTGCCATACTGCTTTCCTTTTATATTCCCACCATTGGTGCACAAAGGTACTGCTTCTATGTCTTGGCTATTGTAAATGGTGCTGTTATGAACGTTGGGGTGCATGTATCTTTTCGAATTAGAGTTTTCTCCCAGATACATACCCAGGAGGGGGATTGCTGAATCATATGGAAGTTCTATTTTTAGTTTTTAAGGAACCTTCATGTTGTTCTCCATAGTGACTACACCAATTTACAGTCCCACCAACAGTGTAGGAGGGTTCCCTTTTCTCCACACTCTCTCCAGCATTTATTATTTGTAGACTTTTTAATGATGGCCATTGTGACTGGTGTGAGGTGATACCTCACTCTAGTTTTGATTTGCATTTCCCTAATTATTACCAGTGTTGAGCATCTTTTCATGTGCTAATTGGCCATCTGCATGTCTTCTTTGGAGAAGTGTCTCTTTAGGTCTTCTGCTTATTTTTTTGATTGGGCTTTTTTTTTTGTTACTGAGTTATATGAGCTATTTGTATATTTTGGAAATTAATCCCTTGTCAATTGCATTGTTTGCAAATATTTTCTCCCAGTCTGTGGACTGTCTTCATTTTCACTGGAGGACAAATAGAATCTTAAAAAAAAAACCCAACAAACTCCCTCCAAGCAAAATTCCAGGACCAGACGCCTTCACTGGAGAATTCTGTGAAACATACAAAGAAGAACTTATACCAGTCCTTCTCAAACTCTTCCTAAAGATTGAAGAGGAGGGAACACTCCCAAAGTCATTCTATGAAGCCACCATCACCTTGATACCAAAACCAGACAGAGGCACTACCAAGAAAGAAAATTACAGGCCATATCTTTGATGAATGTAGTTGCAAAAATTCTCGACAAACTTAGCAAACCGAATCCAACAACACATAAAGAAGATCATATACTACAATCAAGTTGGATTCATCCCAGGGTCACCATGATACTCAACTGTGAAAAGCTGAAAACCTTCTCACTAAAATCTGGAATAAGACAAAGATGCCCACTCTTACCATTTCTATTAAACATAGTATTGGAAGTCCTAATCACGGTGATCAGACAAGAAAAAGAAGTAAAAGTTATCCATATTGGAAGGGAAAAGGTAAAATTGTCATTATATGCAGATGACATACTATATATAGAAAACCCTAAAGACTCCACACAAAAACTACTAGAACTGATAAACGAGTTCAGAAAGGTAGCAGGGTATACAAGATCAACAATCAACATACAGAAATCGCTTGCATTTCTTTACACTAACAATGAAGTAACAGAAATGGAAAGTAAAAAAACAATCTTTTTTAAAGTTGCATCAAAAGTAAATAAATAAAATACTTAAGAATAAACCTGACCAAAGAGGTAAAAGACTTACATGCTGATAATTATAAGACATTGATAAAGAAAATTGAAGATGATTTAAAGAAATGGAAGATATCTCATGTTCCTGGATTAGAAAAAATATTGTTAATTTTTGCCGTACTACCGAAAGCAATCTACAGATTTAATGCATCCCTATCAAATTACCCAGGACTTTTTTCAGACTAGAACAAATAATCCTAAAATTTATATGGAACCATAAAAGACCCAGATTGCTAAGGCAATACTGAAGAAAAAGAATGAAGCTGGAGGCATAGCCCTCCCAGACTTTAGACAGTACTACAAAGCTGCACTAATTCAAACAGTGTGGTATTGGCACAAAAACAGACATGGATCAATGGAACAGAATAGAGAGCCCAGAAATAAACCCACACACCTACAGTCAGTTAATCTTCGACAAAGGAGGCAAGAATATACAGTGGAGAAAAGACGGTCTGGTCTCTTCGACAAGTGGTGTTGAGAAATCTGGACAGCAGCACGTAAATCAGTGAAATCAGACACTCCCTCACACCTTACACAGATATAAACTCAAAATGGCTTAAAGACGTAAATATAAGACATGACACCATAAAACTGGAAGAAATCATAGGCAAAACATTCTCTGCCACAGATGTAGCAATGTTTTCTTAGGTCAGTTTCCCAAGGCAATAGAAATTAAAGCAAAAATAAGCAAATGGGACCTAATCAAACATAAACTTTAGCACAGCGAAGAAAACCATAAACAAAACAAAAAGACAACCTACAGACTGGGAGAAAATATTTGATAGTATCCTTTGATATACAAAAGTTTTTAATTTTCACAAAGTCTAATTTATCAATGTTTTATTATCTCTTTTTGGTATCACATTCTTGAAATTCTGTTTATCTTTTAATTTATGAGTATTGGGTATATATCTGGGGATATTTTTCTTTTCTGCCCATTGATTTCAAGACCAAGACCACTGCATCTGCTGCATAAGTTATAAAACACAACAGCCCTGTTTAGGACCCTGGCTTTGAAAATTGAGGGCTATCTGAGAGAGTCAGTAAAACTACAGAAAAAGTATCGTCTGTGTGACCAGTAGGGAAGGCACAGCAAAATTGAGATTTTGCTCTCCCAGACCCAGAAGTTCATAGTTGTACCAGAAACACACATACAGTTTTAACCCTGCAGGGGGATCATTCCTCCTGATATAAAGAGATTATGTCTTCCAGATTGTACTTAGTTTTAGTTTACCCAAATCCTATTAAACAAAGAATGTAATGCTAGGATAATGGTACTTAATAAGTATTCCTCAAGGAGAAAGTAATTCTACTAGTGTATATTGGATCAAATTATAAACTGATAATTTGTGACCAGAAATTGAGTTTGATGATCTCACCAAAGGTAGAACATTTGGCCTAAATGTAGAGATTGTTATGCAGATATGCAGATGTGCAATAGCTATGACTATTAATTATGTGAAACTCCTCTCTTGTGTATGTTGTACATAACAGACACTGAATAAGTATTTTTTAATTAAAATAAATGTCTGTAATTGTAGGATTTTAATTCATTTTCTGATATTCCTTCTCCTTTTATTCCTAGACCCATCGGACAAATACCATTTAACTTTTTTTGGCAATAGATAATATCTTTGTGACTAATTTTCTTTATATCTGTTACAAGCTACAGTGAAAGAATTATGGTGACTAGGGTTAGAGTTCAGTATGCATCTTATACCTGATGAGGTCCCCTGAGTCAGAGGGGAATTGTGTGAGTGCAGATTGCTACACAGGTTGTATTCTTGTCTTTGCCTTTTTGAAAAAACAGATATGGATCACTACATATCTTCATTATTACCTAGAACTTATTGAATGTGAAGAGTATGTGAAACCTACTGCTGAATTATTCTCCCTGATGTTTGGTTCCTTCTGCACAGTGAGTTTCAGGAAGTAATATGTTAATAAACAGCACTGGTGGATGGAGGAGTTGCAAGTCCTTTGTGACTTGGAGCAGCAGGAAACAGAAAATAGGCACAGAAATATTTAGACTTATTCAAACCATTGTGGTTTTGACATGTGATATTCTTTGGGTTCTTATAGTCAGAGGCAGATAAGTGACTTGAATTTAGTTATCTGTATTGTTAAGTATGTATTAATTTCTGTGCTTTAAGGGAAAAAAAGTTACACAAACTTGCGGATGAAAAGCTACTCTGTAGTCTGGGAAGCAAGACTGCAAGACAAGATTCCAGATGATAATTCGCATAAGAATTAGTATGTGGGAATATATAGAATAAATTGACAAAGTAAAAACTGTGAGCTAATGAATCCAAAACATTCCAGAAACCTGAGTGTTTCTGGACTCCTTCTTGTTCTTTCTCAGTCTGTCCCCAAAGCCCTTTGTGTTCTCTCTTTCACAGAGCTTTGTAGCTCCTCTTCTTCTCTTTCCTGGCCACACATGCCTTCAGATTCTTCTACTCAGGAGCAGCACTCATCAATGCATACATTTTATCCTCTAGTCTTTTCTCTCTTTCACTTCATACTCCTTTGTGCAACACAGCACCCCTGCTTAGGAGTCCAGTCCACCTGTGGCTCAGACCTGTGGTTGTGGCTTCCACCGTCACCACCTGGTGGCAGTGTTTCTATACTGCAAAAGCAGGATTTGGGGAAGTACCAGAAAAAAACCTTGGAATACTATATATCCATACTAACTTAGGAGTTGCTTTCAGTTCTGTTTACTCTTAAATGGTATTATATTTGACACTGTATTCAGAATGGTATTTTATTCATATTTTATGTATTTAGTGTAAAGATTTTAAATTATAAGTTGAATGACAGAAAGGGAAATTTTAAAGTAATGATAGATACTAATGAAAGGTCAAATATCCATTTTATATAATTTATACAAGTTACTTCTGTAATGCTGTTATAATTCAGTCTTCCCTTTATCCAATTTTAAAGTAGTAGGAATGAACTCTTAAATATTCATTGATGTGATGAAGAATACCTTAGCTACAACATCCCTGACTAAGTAAATAACAGTCAGTGGACTGTCAGTCTTAGAAAATTCCAGTTTTATGATATGTGAAATTCAAGTAATTATAAGAATCTTTATGGTATTTCCTTCAGGTGAAATTCCTAAGCAGGTTAAAGTGAAAAAATTGAAGAACCTGAAGACTCTGGATTCCAAACCTGGTATTGACTTTTTATTAATTTTTAAATATATACTATATGGGTACTTGGATCTTAGTGTTTACCTTATTTTCTTTTCTTTACTTTGTAGGAGTTTATACTTCTTATAAGCCATATCTAAATAGAGATGAAGAGATCATAAAACAATTACAGAAGGTAATTACTTGCTCATATTATTAATTTTAAATTTCCTTACTCAGGTATACAATATCCAGTTAGGCAATGTGAGCTTTATGTATAACAATGTGTGATGAGGTCTCTCTTTTGAACCAAAGCGTCATAAAAAATCAGGAGACTAATGTCGCAGCGATTATGACTTGAAATATGGGGCTGCAGTTACAAACTAGTACCAGTCTTCCTGAAAACTTAAGAGTGAAAAGTTAATAGTGAAAAAGTCATGGACTGTACTATGAGGTAGCTTAGCATCTAGCTTTGTTTGGAACATGTAAATAGTAGTAATATAGCAAGTGTGGAAAAAAGATAGTCTTCATTGTGAGCTGATATTTTAAAGTATGGGATGAATGTCCCATGTTTTGCTCTGAGGATTATTTTCCTGGGATATTGCACAGTGAACTTCACAATAAATTACTTCAAATGAAGTTCTTGGTTGTTTTTCATATCAAGTAAAAATATGTATTTACATTTCAGCTGAGCTTCTATAAACATTCATTGTTTTGTATTCCCTGTCACTAGAGTATAGGGTCTCAATTTTTTCCTGTTTTAAGGGTGTACAACAGAAACGTCCTTCTGAGGCTCAAAGTGTTATTCTCCGCCGCTATTTTTTGGAACTGACCCAAAGCTTCATCATTCCATTAGTAAGTTAGCATACGTATTTGCTTAATTTAACGATTTGTTGAATTGGATATGAATTTTTTTTCCAACTACCAAAACCTTACCATAAATTGTTTTGCCTGCTCATGTGTTTAAATGTGATTAAAATAGAGCCCTTTGCAAGAGACCTAGACTCTTTGTTCTAGTGTTAACTGTATAATTTTGGTAAGTCACTTTGTCTTCTTTGACCCTCAGTTTCTTTCTTTATCTGTAAAATGTGGCTAGTTACACTTTTCCTAAATATCTTTCAGGGTTGTTATGAATCTTAAATGAGATAATTGTTATGAAATATTATACAATTACTGCATTTTGCACCTTAAAAATTTATACTGTAGCTTCTTTTTCTGACATTATTTTCCTGAGCATAATTTGATGATATCCGTAAGAAGGTAGCAGTTATGGACTTGAAATATGGGGCTGCAGTTACAAACTAAACTAGATGACAGGGAACTTACCTGTCCTTTTCATTATCTTTCCTCTGTCTGTCATATAGTAGCTAGGACACAAAAAATGTTTATGGAATAAGTGACTAGATGATATGGTTATTCTCTGAAATTCAGTGAAACATTGTATTGAAATACTAGAAGATGTCTCACAATATAAGGCAGTACCATGATGCGGTCCTAGGCTGGAGACTGCATCAGAGAGAGACTTGTGTAGTTATTAATATAATCTATCTAGAATATTACATAAGGGTAACCTATAGACCTTTGCTCCTATATTTTGGGAAGAAATACTTTCTTGGTCTATGGCTGTCAATTTATTTTTTTCCATTTAAATCTGTTTAAGTAAGTCAACTTTACTGTAGTGCTTAAGAGCATGGACTGAAGTCAAGTAGATCTGAATTCATGTTCAGGCTATGTGAACTTGGGCAGGTTACTTAGCCTTTTGAGGCCCTGGTTTCCCAGTAATTCCTGCCACAAAGGATGGTTGCAAGGATTAAAAGAGATCATGCATGTAAAATGGTGAGTACATTTTCTGGCACATAGTTACTCAATAAGGTTAATTATTATTAAAAATATGTAGTTCCTTGGATTATCTAAGATTTAGCTAAATTTTTATTGAAAGTCAGTTCTCAATTTAATCTAAATTTAGCAATATCTTTTGAGGGGAGTGATGGTATTATCCATTTAAAGAGCATATGGATGAAAAACTTGGAAACTCACGTTCTTTAAGTAGGACTTTTTAAACATTTTTGAAGACTGGGTAAGAACACCTAACTTTGACTACCTTTTTTTCTTGGACTTAGGAAAGATATGTGGCAAGCTTGATGCCTTTGCAGAAAAGTATTTCTCCATGGAAGGTATAAATATTAAATTATAAATTAAATTTCTGTTTGAGTTCTCTAACTGCAATTAACTTCTGTAATATATCCATTTTTAATTTTTAAATACAGTATGTCCTGTTTTCTAGAGTCCACCCCAATTAAGACAGTTCCTTCCAGAAGAATTCATGAAAACACTGGAGAAAACAGGACCTCAGCTGACGTCTAGAATAAAAGGCGATTGGATTGGACTTTACCGGTTAGTCCTCTTTTTCTATTTCACCCATCTACACAGCTTTATTTAAAAACAAAACAAAACAAAAAACTGGACTAAACATATCTTTTTAAAAAAATGCCATTGTTTCACACAGTTCTCCTAGCTATAGGTAGGAAAGGTATTGAGGAGAGGAAATTAAAGTCATAATCAGATTTTGCTTTTTAAAATTTATTTTTACAGGCATTTTCTAAAATCTCCAAATTTTGATGGTTGGTTCAAGACCCGGCGGAAGGAAATGACCCAGAAATTGGAAGCACTCCATCTTGAAGCTCTTTGTGAAGAGGTTAGAAAACAGCGTGTTTATGTGATGATTAACAGCTATTGAAAATGAAGATAAAGTTATCCATAGAGGCTGGAAGGTTATATCAATAGCCACTACTTTATAAATAGTAATAAAGTAGTGTGCAGTGTGCCAAGGACTGTGTAGGTGCTCTAAATGGATGATGTCTTTTAATCTTCACAGTTCATTGAAGTAGGTGTGTTACGCCCTGCATTATGGGACACTTGAGGATTATAAGTTAAGTGATTTGCTTCATATCACATCACTGCTTAGTAGTGGAGCTGGTAGTGTGCTACAGCCCAATTGCACTGGCTCACAGGAGCCGACCATGTGCATCTCTTCCCAACTCTGCATTCAGTAATCTGAGGTTGGTGACTTGAAGTTGGCTACAGTGGGAGGATTACACCGCAGAACCTGGCAGAACTTTTCCTGGAGAACTGGTTATTAAATATTTGCTAGCCTACCACTGGATGGAGGCAGGATTCAAATCCAAGAAGTCTTATCTCTAGATCTTTTCCCACATGCTTTATTCCCTTTTCCCAGTTACTGTGATTTTTTTTTCCTGTATTTGGACTTTTCCACGTTCTATTATTTGTCAGCAGACTATTTTAAGTTAAGCTATTTGTAAAAATATAAAGAATAGTCTCATTTCATTTGTGCTTAGCTTGAGTTTGATTTCTAATCATAAACTCCCACTGACTGTAGCTTTTAGAGAAGGAATACGATGAAGGCAACCACAAAGAAGTCCAGGAAGGGCTTATTTGAAGGTGCAGAGTTTACATTTAATAATATATTCATGTTCATAATTATCTTAATTTGTTAGTTGGTGTACCTTAAAAATTATTCCCTATTTAATGAGGTGAGGGTTAATGTTGTACTTTCAATTCCAATTTTGTTTTTCTTGATTGATTTAAAAGGGCCACCTCAGAAAGGAATGTCTTACATTGTGTTTTACTTCCAAATATTAAGACAGTCAATCTGGCTAATGTCAAGAAGTATCTAATTAACACCGTCAGAATATCATGTACAGAATTATTCTTGTACTGTGATGCTATATCTGGGTTACATACCCAGTTCTCCTTTTCCTTCCTGTCCTTCTTTCTTGGTAGCCTTGCCTATTGAAATAGGATGATTTGGGTATTATTTTGAGTATTTTCTGATTTGAGATTTGTTTATTCTTCCAGGACTTACTTCTCTGGACCCAGAAACACACAGAAGTGGAAACAGTAGACCTTGTATTGAAGCTGAAAAATAAGCTGGTATGTAGCCAAAACAGCCAAAACCTGTGAAGTTATTTTCCTCTCATCTGGAGTGACAATCCATCATGTATCACAGAAGTAACTTTAAATGAGAGGACTAATGATTGGTCAGTTGATGGTAGATCTGACTGAAAATGCTTGGTCATTCAAGCAGATCATAATGATGCATATGTTTTTAAATTATTTACATGGAGTCTGATGAGCTCTACAAAAAACATTGTGACTTATATTTAATACCACATGGCCTATGTAGATATTATCTATTAATTTACATAGAAGTCTTTTATTGAGTTCAACAACTGTATTGTTAAAGTGGCATGTTCTTTGCTTTTTAACAGTTTTTGTAAATTCTGGTCTAAGTCTCAAGTTTGCAAACCATTAGACCATTAAAACTGTTTATTTAGAGAATATAATGTATTAATACAGGTTCAAAGGATAATTTAAATGCTTCCAAATGTTCCTTATGTAGTTGCAGGCTGATCGAGAGCGTTTACCCGTGAAACCTGACACTATGGAAAAGTTACGGACACACATAGATGCAATTATCTTAGCGTTGCCCGAGGATCTACAAGGCATACTGCTCAAAACGGGCACGACATGATATTTGCCAGGATTTTCCAGTCAAAAAGGATGGTGGTGCACCATGAAGCATACTGACATTTCAACCAGACGCACAAGATCTCTCAGAGTGGAAAATAGCTGTGAATGCTAGCTACAAGGCGGAAAAGACTATACTGTATAAACAGACCTTTTAGTGCATTATTTTTAAAAATGGGTATCTGTGGTGGTTCCACTTTAATACTAAAACACCGAAAGACATTTCTATATTTTTAATCATGTTCTAAAGTGCTCTTATGAGAGACCTGTGGGGCCATCAGTATAAGTGATTCCAAACTGCAGTGCTGGCATTGCAGATATTTTTTTAAATTGGTGCTGCTTTGCCCAATCATGTTGAAACTCAGGGGGATATAAAAATAACATTCACACTGGCTGTCTTCTTAAGAAGAAGGAAAAGACTGAACTGTCAGACTGTAGTTAGAAGTAATTAATGCTTTTGTAGTGCCTTCTGTTGTCCTACATGTTTCACAAAGCCCAGCTGCTAGTCTTAAAGCTTTTCCTTAACGTGATTATGATATGTAAGTTTTTATAAGGCATTCTTTTGAGTAATCATTGCTTAAACATATGTTTTTTTGCTTCCCATTATGTTTACTGCTAGTGGCATTGGTGTTTTTTTTCCAATTGTCATATAGGTTTCATTTCATTCTTTTCTATGCCATCTTCAGATGTAATCTTATCAGTGTCTCCAAAGGGAAGAGGGCATCTAGTATTAATTATGGAAGAGTTTATTTCCTCTTACCTTTTACTAATTAGGCCTGTTTACATTAATTGGCCTGGCTGTTTTTCAAAGACATTCTAATTGTAAACTCATAAGCTATTTTTTAAACTGAACTATCCTTATTTAAAAGGCATTCATAAACCTTTTATGTGATAGATAGTCCTTTGAATGATTATAAGATTGATTCATCTAGCATTATTTGTTTGGTAGGGTTTTTCCCCCCAAATTAATATTTCTCAGAACACTTTCCCTGTGGTTGTTTGACATGGGAACTTTTGACTGAATCACTGTTATAGCTATTTTTGTTGTTTTTGTTTCTGTTTTATTTTGTTTACACTATACTACCTTGCCAAAACTAGAAGATTGTGGTTTGGTAGAATAAGGTTGTTTCCTTGGTGTTTGAATAGGAGTGTCCTGAAGAAGCCACTATTTAAAATAGGCACACATGACATAGCACATATGTAAATAGCTGTGTCTTGAATTACCCTCTACATAACCAAATTTAGTTGTATGTGTTTGTAAAAGAAATGGCTTCAGGAGCTATCTCTTACTCTTTGTTAATATAATTCCTAAGGGCACTCCAGACATAAGAAAGGGTCCTTGGTGTTTGTAACTGTGGTCTTCTACCCAAATGTGCCCTTTCCTTATGGATATAGTCTCTTGAAGCATACCTCAAAGTCATAGAGAGAATGTGGCATTTGAAGTAAATCATATGCCTTGGATCATGAGTTATTTTGTGAAACAACAGTTGTCCCCACGGAAAATGGGCGACTGCTTTTATATGCTGAACTATTTCATATCTTCCTGGGAAACTTTGTTTAGGTATAAGTGGTCATCTTATTATTTTTCAAAAAGGTGTATTTTAATAATCTTACAATTTATATGCAGTTGTGACCAGAGTTTGAAAGTTGTTGGTGTCATATCAAGGATCTTTTCAGTTATACCACTGCAGGATGTATCATTTCAAGTTTATTTTGCACAGCTAAAGAGTAGCAAAGGATGCCAGTTAGCATAACAATAGTATCTTCATATTTACTGTATTTAACTAAAATCTAACACATGTTGAAAACCGTATCATAGCCTGGTTTATCTATTAATTTCAAATTACGCACTTGTAAAAATAACTTAAAATTTCATTGGGAACCTGAAAAAGACTGGTAACTTAATTTTTTGTGTGATTTTCAGAATTGTCTTTTTTTTTTTTTTTAAGAGACATTGTTAAGATCTAAAACCTGCCATTTAATGTTTATCTTCACCAGCATCAAAAGGAATCACTGCTTTCAGGGTGTTTTGTAATGCCTAGTGCCTTCTGTTTTCAGTGAGAAAGAGGTTTTGTGAAGGCATTTATGGTCATTACTGAAAACTGAATTAAAGGCCTTGGATTTTAAAGCCCTTGGATATCTTGTATTATTTCTGAGTAAGGCTGGAATGCTTGAAAAAATGCAGAGCAAATGAAACTTCCATTATGGGATTCCTTTTAGTTCCTAACTTATTTTTTTAATTCAAATGAAAACCTTCTTCTATTTACTTCATCATGAACAGGTGAATAGTCCAGTTTATTAACAGACCAATTAAGTGATTTCATATCCTTCCTACCAGTATATTAATTTTTGTGAAGTGTTCTGATGAAAATTTTTTAGCTTAATCTGGGTACTGTTAGATTTACCTTCATTTGCTACCTTTTCTTTTTTAACCTTAAATCTCAAATTACTTTTATTTCTTCCTCTTCTTTTTTAAAAGTAGCAAGTATATGATACCATTCTTTTAATTTTAATTTGTTTGTTAATAATAAAATATATTGGGTAGTACTCCTTTTTGAAGTTACTGAGTAGTATTTTTCAAAGTAGACTATAAATTATATGTTACATTTAAAAGAGATGCCATTAAAATTTGTCCTTTTGTTTTCACTTGCTCATAACCTCATTCACTTGTTTCTGTACACCTAAATTTTACTAACTTTCTCCTTTTAGCATAACTAGGGGCAAAAATTTTAACTACTGACTTTCTAATATTAATCCTTTAAAAACTGATAGTTGAAGAAGACAGAAAGCTTGTCTATTATGCATAAGTATCATTTAAATAACAAAATATGTTAACTCTTAACAATGACTAAATTATAACTAGTAATTTCATATCCCTTCATATATTGAAGATACAATACTATATATGCCATCCAGAACTTGGTTGAATTGTGGTACTTATTATTATATCAATAGAAATTAGTGCTTGTTAATAGAGCTCCTATGATTTTTTTCTATTTGTACTTCCTTGGTGGTTGGAATAGATAAAGCAATTTGGTACAAGATACAGAATCATGATTCCTAAAATTTATCCTACATCTAACCAATTTTTAGAAAATCCCATTTTAAGTTGATGGTTAGTTAATGAAAAAGGTTTATGACATTGATTTAGCAGTTATAGCATTGCCTAGCTCATGATGCACAACTGTTGAGAGAAAAAAAGATGGCCGTAGAATTCTGCTACATCTTAGTCTCCAGTGTTATTTTTGGACTTTTGAACACCACCTTCCTCTGCTACCTATTACATCAATGCCATGCTATGCCTTTCTTCAAATTAAGATTAGTGTTGTCTAATTATCATAGATCTCATTCCATTTTACTAGTGTCACCATTAGGCTTGAGTTCTTCTGTTTACTTTTGCTTCCCTGTTCTCTTTGTCATAATACCATTTCTGCTTAGCCATTAGAAAGCTGAACTTCATGAATCCTTCATCTTTTTTACTGTCCCTCATGTTTTTCTCTATCAACCAGGATGAATACTTTGTAGTATAAATTGCTTCTATGTTGAAATACTTTTGAAAAATAGTAACTTAATATTCCAGAGTTATTATACTTGCTGTTAAGTGAATGGATATTTAGACTTCAGTAGGAAGCTATTGAAATGATTGATTTTGATCTAATGAAATGGGTAAATATTTTTATAGCTAGAGGCTCTGGTGATAAAATGCAGTAATTTGTGTTTTTTTTAAATGTTTTATTGAAGTATAATTGACATACAATAAACACAAAGTATATAATTTGGTAAGTTCTGACATTTGAATACACATCTAAAACCATCACACACTCAAGATAGGAACATACCTGTCTCTCCCCCAGAATTTCTTATGCTCCTTTGCACTCCATCCTGCCTTCCCTTCCCAAACAACCACTGATCTGTGTTGTAACTATAGAATTGTTTGTGTTTTCTGGAGTTTTATATACAGTATGTACTTTTTTTTTTTTGATCTGCCTTTTTTTTTTTCTTTTTTTAACACCTTAATATGGTATTTATTTGGCTCCCATTTGTCAAACCCTAAGCCAACCATTTTCCCTAGGCTGCCTGGGGATGTACAGGAAAAGAAACATACAGGGCAGATTTGGCATGGAAGAAAGAACTATGGGAGGTGGAGAGGGCTCCTTAACATGGCAAAGAGAATAGAAAAGACTACAATCAGGGGAAAGAGCCCCATAGCCTCAAAGAGGGCAAAGCCCAGAACGGCACAGGAGAAGAGCTGTTGCTTCAGAGAAGAGTTTCTGGCATAGCCAATAATGGCTCCCAAACCCACCCCAGAGCTAGCCATCCCAACTGGGGCAGGCACAGCCCCAGTGAACTTGGCTGCTCTATCAATGTCTCTGAAATGGCACTGGGTTGGAAGTTATGTCTTAAGCATAAGTGAGGTCAAGGGCGCTAAGGCTGGCAAGTTGCTAAGGTTCTCACTTGTCAGCATCTTTAGTTGTTTCATCACTACTGCAGACACTGGTCGGCTTGGCAGCTCAGGGGTGCTCCTGACCAGGGAAGGGAATGAGAGGCTATGGCAGGAAAACTGCCCTCGGTGCAGAGAGCATTCTGACTTCTTTACTCAGCAAAATACTTTTGAGATTCATCTCACGTTGCATGTTTCAATAGTTGATTCTTTTTATTGCTCAGTAGTATTCCATTATATGGCTATAACACAAATTTCTTATCTACTCACCTGTTGATGGATATTTGGGTCATTTCTAGTTTTTGTCTATTATAAATAAAGCTGCTATGGACAGTCGTATACAAGTCATTGTATGGACATATATATATATATACTTTCCTTGTGGGCCAATGCCTACGAGCGATATGCACAGGATAGTTGAATCATATGGTAGGTGAGTGTTTAACTTTTTAAGAAGTTGCCAAACTGTTTTCCCAAGTGATTGTACTAATTTATTTCCACCAACTGTGTATAAGAGTTCCAGTTTTTACACATCCTAGTCAACACTTGGTATACTCAGCCTTTTTAAATTCAGCCATTCTAATAGGCTGATACTGCTGTCTCATTGGGATTGTAATTTGCATTTCCCTCGTGACTTGTGATGTTGAACATCTTTCCATGTTCTTACAAGTCATCTGTATATGTTCTTTGGTTAAGTGTCTGTTGAAATCTGCTCTTTTTTAATACTGAGTTTTAAAATTTCTAATGGTTGAGTTTTGATCTTGACTAGAAGTGAGAGTCCCAGCAATCTGGTTTTAAGAATCCCTCGAAGGAATCCTGATGCATGTTAGAATTTGAGAACCATAGAGATATATGAATTTAATGTTAGATGATTATTTCACTATCAACCATTATTTACCATGAAGACAGAATTACATGAGTCAGTAAACCTAATTTTTGGAGGAAAAATCTTTGTGAGTAAATTCTTTTCTGTTTTGTAGCATGGACGGTATGTAAGTAATTGTGAGACACTCGTAATAGTTATACAGCCAGGACAGAAGGAGATTTGGGTAAGGGGAAGAAGGTCTTGAGAAATAATCTTATTTCACTGATGTTGTTATGGTATATACCGGTCTTATGGTATAAAGCATTTAGCTTTAAGCTACCTAATAATTTCTTTAATTGTGATTAAACAAAAGATCACATTTCTGAGAGTAGTTGAAACCATAATAAAATCTAGGTTTGCTCTAGTTGGGGGAGGAGAAGCAAATGACTCCATTTTGGGCCTGCTTCTTTAACCATTCCCCCCCCTCTTGATCATAATCTCAGTCTAACTGAGAAATGTGATCAGAAATTAAGGCACTAGTGCCACTCTCAGCTACTGCTCTGCAGCTCTGTCAATTTTTGGTATGGCATGCAAAGGTTATGGTTCATAATCCTTAAATTGATTACTCTCTTCGCTTGTTTTCTGTTGTTCCAGTCTTGGGGAGATCATTTGTATGGTGATTAGTGGCATGTATTTAAAAGCATGGGGAGGATTATTATGATTACAATAAGCAGGATAATTCCCAATGTTTGGAATGCACTTTGAAGCTATGGTCCCCAAGACCCAAACCTAACAAAGACAGGCCCCATTCAGAGTCATCTGCTTCAGCCAAGTGGATTGCTTAATGTATGGAACTGACTTTCAACTCCCCAAGAAGTGTTAATCCAGGTAGAACAGGTGGTGACCAGTAAACCCAAGTAAAATAAAAATTTTTATACTTGATGCTGATTAACTCTAGAAAAATGCCTGTTTTAATCAAACCAATAAACTTAAACTAGCTTTTATTTATCCTAGATCACACAAACTTGAAACAGTTGGGTTAGTATCTATATTTCTGATTTCAGAATACCTAATTCTTCATTTTTATATTTTTTTATGTATTTGCAGTTGTTTGTTTTTAAGCCAATCAAATACAGCACTTTATAAATTAATTTTGATAATGCCACCCAGAGGTAGAGAATATCACACATTTACAACATACGTAAATATAGATACACACAGACCTTATAGTTACTAATATTTCTGTAAAAGTCATAAGTTTTTTTTTTTTTTTAACGATCTTTGCCCCTTTGGATAAGAATTACCTCCCTGACATTTGCATCTCAAAGAATGGCTTTTAGGTCCTAGAGAAAATGGGAGTATAAAATCTATATCACAAAGGCACAAAGTATCCAAGTTTTCTACAAGATGAAGTCTTGTGGGCATATTTGCAGGACAATTCTGTTTCTAATGTCACAATGTCTACAAGTATTTTAAGATGAAGAGGGGAGGTTTTAGGATTGACAAAAAAGACTGACACACTCATCCACCTGTTGTTAGAATGCCTCTTTCCCTTTGGGTACATTTAGCTTAGGAGAGAAGGCCTTAAAAAGTGCCTAGCAGGCCTTGATTATCAGCTTCTCCCATTTGGCCACATTTCTAATACTAAAATTATCGAATCCTTTCAAGTATCTTGTCAGGGTTCATCTGGGACAAACAGTAAATATTTCTGATAGTATTAAATAACATCATCAAATTAAATTTTTGTTTCCCCTTGGCTGTTTAAGGAAATACATGGCAGTTTGCCAGAAAATCCCTTGGAGTTTCATCAACTCTGGGAGGGACCCATATGGAGATGGAGGTATTTAAGTTGATGTTGAAGAACTTACATAGGGCTTTTGAGGAC